GTGTGTGTGTGCGTGTTTGACCGCGCCTTACCCGCCACTCTTGTTGTCTATTTGGGTGGTCCATTAGCATGTTCTTCTTGTTCACCCATTCTTACTCGTCGAGACCTCTGGCGCTGGCGGGCGCGTGGAGGCCACGGCGAGCCGGGGGGACCAGGACTGCGAGGCCTGCGTAGTATGTGTACTTACATACTCCTCCTTGTTTGCAGCCCCGGCAGGGGGAGAGACAATTGAGTTTTTGTAATGTTTTCTGACCGATTTAGTTTTATTATTGACGGTTTGCTCGCGCACCTTCTTCGACTGCGCTCGCGCAAAGGACTTTTGCGCTACGCATATTAATACTTTTTGCATTACAATGGCCATGATCATCATGCTCGTTGGGGAGTCTGCGCGCTGGTGGTGGTGCAGGGCCGCGGAGCAGAAGGCATTGCGACAAGTCGGCGACCAGCCCAAGGTGGGCCAGCCGGCGCACCAGACTGCCCATATCGGGCGTGCCACCGAACCGAACCCCGGACCCGGACCTGGACCCTCAGACCGCGTGAGCGTGATACCGGAAAGGTCCGCGTCATGTGGTAAGGGACTCGGCTCGGTACCTCTCTGATCAAGGGGAGATCGACTGAATGAAATTTACGAAAATCGGATCAGAACATGGATACCATGTGCGGTCGGATTACCCACAGATTATCACGCCAGTCCTCATGATATGAGAGGGTCATATGGGACTCAAAAACGTGTTCGTGTTACTCTCCCGGATCACTATTTGGATCACCATTGTTTGCCGTTGGTTAACTTCTGGATGACCTTTCTCCAGTAGCAGATAACCCAAATCGATTTCTACTAGGCCTCACGATCGATCATACTTCGTGTCCTTCCCCGCTTGACTCCAGACGGCCCCGCACCGGCCCCGCAAGGTCCCCGATGGCATCGTCCCCCTCCCACACCCCTGTACCCAGCTCTTCCCCCTCTTTACCCCCTTCTCTTTCCCTTCTCACTCACCGCGCACCTGACAGGACCGAAATAGACACCCGTTCACTGTCCCCGTGTAGTGCGGCGCCCGGCGGCCCGGCTAGTTAAAGCCCACTCCTCCCCGACGCCTTACGCGCACGCACACACACGCACGCACACGCACGCACGCACACACACACACACACACACACGTGCACTCGGGCCCGCGCGCTTGCTTTTTCGGGAGTGTCCTCCTGCCCTGCTGAAAGAGCCCACAAAAAATGTTCTCCCTATTTAGACTGTTTGTTTTTTTGTTCCATTCCACCGTCGTAAACTAGTGACCCACTTTTCTGAACTCATCGCTCGCAACGACACACATGCAAGACGTCGTCATATATACGCACTGGCAAACCACGTCCAAAATGCCCATATACTATCTCGACCCATTTTCCCTTTCGCCTCCACATTGTAAAGCTCTTCGTTTGCGTGTGCTGCTTGCAATGCCAGGGTATTGACTTTTGATTCCACTAGGTAGACTGATTTACTCATGGGCGATGGGATCACGACAAGGGAGTTTTTCATACCGCCGGGAACATGTTCGGCTCGGCCAATCAGGGAACATCCTGAGCAAACCAATCACCCAAATCACTTACAATACATACTGAGTCTTGACTCCCAATCGGAGCAGCGGCAGGTGGAGCTATATCACATCCACCCCGACTCGCCACCGCCCCCCCCCCCTCTCTCTCTCTCCTACGCGGGCGCCTTGACTTTACTGTCCGTTTTTGCATATCGTCTGTCGGTCGCGTGTTTGTCAGCGCGAGAGCTGCACAACGAGACCCGCGGCCTCCCATTTAAGGCGCTCTCGCTGCTTTTGCAGACGTGCGGGGGGACGTCTTCTTCTTCTGCTGGGCGCGGCGTGTCAAATAGCGCGAGGGCGGCACGGACTTGTCATAAGCAAACTGACCGCGCTGGCCTGAGTCACGACCACGATGGCCACAACACACACACACACAAACACACATGAGCACGAAGCGGACACGCTCGCGAGGTTCGCGGAAGGAAGAGAGGCTATTCGATTTAAATGGCAGCTGCTGATGGCTGCGCGACCAGACCAGGCTGGCCGGGCCGTTGCGGGACGCCAAATGTCGGCCGGTCCTTTGCTGCCCTCTGCCCCATTCCCCCCTGGCAGCCTCTGCACTGCAAAATGCTGGCAGAGAAAATGTTCAAATTGCAAAAAAGAAAAAAAAATTCTTCGCAACCTGCAAAACATTTTGAACCATTGCATAGTTCTTTGCAAGCTCTGACAAACTATTTATTTGCAAGAGGCGAACAAAAAGTTTGGAACGATTCTGACTGCCTCAGCCTGCAGAAACGTCTTCGCAATACAAACCGATTCATTGCAACAGTGCAAAGAATTGTGTGTGTCCAATATTTTTCGACACATGCACTGTAATTTTACAATATGCTGTTGAACGACAAAACGAGTGTTTTTATTTTTGTTTGTTTTTCGCAGGTGGCATGACTCTCGGCCGCCGCAGGTGATCCACGGACAGGACGGCGACAGGCGCTCGGCATGGACAACAACAACCTCGGTAAAAGCACGAAACTTTTCGAAATTTATAGACCACTTTCTGATTATAACCAAATAAACGGTCTTAAAATTTGTGTATTCCTTAAATATTACAAGCGGTCCATTATTGTTTTCACAGGAATAGAAATGCATTGGTGAATTTTTGATTTCCGCTGTACATATTTTACTTGCAGCATGGTATTTTGAATACGCTTTTTATGGTAGCGAAGGCAACTGCACCACCTCCACTGCAGCACAAATTGCAGAAAATGCAGTTATACTTGGCTATTTGCAACTCTGGAAGGTCTAATGAAACTAATCTATTTTGAAAAAAAGTATTTCAGTAGTCGTTAATGTCGGTAGTTGTTTTCAATGCGATTAACTCCGTACAAGCACAAGCTCGATGCCACTCACTTCACACTTTATAGCAAACTCTGACTCTCTTTTAGCACAATTCAGTAGATCAGTAGTTCAGTAATCTGCTAACGTTTATTTGTAATTTTGAGGTTTTCTTTTTTTAGTATTTGCATCCACTGCTTCTGACGCTGTGCAGTTTTCATAGCACCTGCTGCTGGCCCCACTGCTGTTGATATCGATACACTGCCGCAATAAGCCTCACCTTGATCAGACTGTGCTGCACACTGCCCATATTTGTCTGGTCGGTTCGAGTTAATTTTCCTCCTCCACCCCGAGCAACTTACATTTCAGGCCAGTTTCTGAACGATTGAATATTCGGACACGCCCCACCCCCCAACTGGCGTTTGGCTGGCGTTCGCGTTTCGCACGCGACTGCTCGTCCTCCGCCTGCTGTGTGTTGTCGGCGGGAGCCTAGACCGCGAATGTCAGATTAGAGGAGAGCGCGGGCCACGCCCCGCCACGCCGCCTCGCGGCTCGAAATAACCTTTGTGTGATTCAGACGGGACAAAATCAAAGACTGTCGCCTTGCCGGTCACCGCCTGTCCTGCTTCGGCTTCGGCAGCGAGGCGAAGGCGCTGACACTGATGGTGACAGCATATACTTTTGACAACATTCATTCATTATTTTTCGTTGACGTACGTCCCCTTTTTCGGGCGCACTAGTTTCCACCGGGAAACAAGCAAGTCTTGGTTCATTATTTTGCCGAGACTTTCGAGGAAACTGACTTACCCCTGCCGAATATATACTCTTCATGAGTATAACATTGGGAAGACGAAATGCTCATATTTTCCAACACTCATCATATACTTCTCACTCTTTTACAGAAATAAAATAAAACAAGTTTGCTGTGTCTTGGGTCGCTGTTAGGCCCTTCATTGTCATGCGCTTGCGCTTTCGCGAACGCGTCCCCGCCTTTTGGCCGCCCACGCCAGCGCCGGGGCGGGCGCCGCGATTCGACGCTTCCGAATAACACGACGTCGCTCTCTCCCCCGTTTCCCTCCCTCTGCGTCCATCTCCCCGACTCTTTTGTTCTGACGCAGCCCTGCAGGGAGGGACCCGGGGACCCACCCGCGGCAGCGTTCCAAACCGTGCCTCACAGTCTGCGTTTTGTAAACATGTGTGCTGTTGCGGGGGAAGTGGGGGAGATGGTGGTTGGGGAGGGGGGTAGCGGTAGAAGAAGGAGAGAAATGCGTCGGGCTCACCGTGTGAGTTACCATGTAGCAACACACGAGCAACAAGTTGGAGGCGACGTCGCACCTCGGCCGCAGCAGTGGCGCGCTTATATAAATAATGCGAGTTGAACGAACCCTTTCGTGTGATTGGCTTTCATCTAACCTACTTTCGGTGCAGGGCGCGGGGCTGCGACGAAGCGCGCCGTTCGCTCCGTGCCAACTACACCCCCACCCTGCATCCCCACCCGCCCCCGCCGCCGGCCCGTCCAGCCCCAAAGAGCGATGTGTCTGGTCGGCTGTCCACGCGCTTGATATTAGTTTTAATTAATACCGCATGTCCTCCTGATGTCATCCTCTTATTATTTTTCTTTACATACAAAACTGACGAAGTAGCAAGAATAACAACTTAGTGATTTCCTCTTCGCATCCAATCCCAAATAATTTAACTATTTCCAACCCGTCTCAGAGAGGCTGTGGTTTCGATTTCCTTTTCCTTCGAACCTTCCCTTCGTCCTTTTCCCTGCCGTCGTCCTCGCCCCGGCGCCGTGCGACTCGGCAACCCAACCTACTTATACGCCGGGCCTGCAGCCCGTTCCAGGAGCCCCGCCCCTGACTGTGTCCCCTTCCGTTCGGTTGTCCTAGGGGCTGTTGTGTCGTGTTGAGGTCCTGGAGGAGAGGGTCCTGGTCCTGAAAGCGGCCCGCGGTCGTCCTCAAGTAAGAACCAGGTAAACTGAAATAAAAAAAAATAAAAGCAAAAGTATGAAAAAGTGTGGCAAGTGAGTGGCTTCGGAATGTAAAGCGAAAGAGATTATTGATCTGCCTGGCTGTGCTGCATTTTTTTCAGGACCCTTGTGTACTATGAGCTGACCTTTTGCCTCGCCTGCGCGTAATTTCGATATACTTTAGACGGCACGGTGTGTGGGGGCAGTGGGGAATTTACTAACAGCGGCCGCTCGCCCGGCCTTGCCTACTTGCAGATAGCCTGCTCGACGACCTGCAGTCCTCTGTGGGTCGGGTGAACGGACCCAACGGGCACCTCGGGCACGTCAGCAGCAGCACCACCACCGGCGGCGTCAACATGTCCACCACGGGGTACCGGGAAGTGTCCCGCACCATGACCACGCAGGCCACGGGCCAGCTGCCCAGCACCACCCGCGAGTACCAGATCGAGTACCTCTCCCCCGCCAACTCCACCACCGTCCCGGAGGAGAGGGCCCCCTCGCCGGGCGTCTTCAACTCGTCCGAGTACTCGGTGAGCAGCCTCGGGGAAGGGAACGCCGGTGGAGTAGGCAGTCCCGTTAAGCACCGCTGCCGAGCTGGTCTGCCTACCTCCAGCCCTGCAGGCGCCTGTGCGGCAGGCAGTCCCGTTGAGCACAGCTGCTGGGCAGGCCTGCCTACCTCAGCTCTGCAGGCGCCTGTGCGGTAGGCAGTCCCGTTAAGCACCGCTGCCGGACTGGTCTGCCTACCTCCAGCCCTGCAGGCGCCTGTGCGGTAGACAGTCCCGTTAAGCACCGCTGCCGGGCAGGCCTGCCTACCTCCAGCTCTGCAGGCGCCTCCACTCACTAACGTCACAACCGACACTCGTCCGTTTGCAGAGTGGGCTGGAGCGGCACGGCAACGCCACGTCGGCCTACAAGACCGCGTCGTACGAGTACAAGAGTTCGACGGGCTCCTCGGCCAACGCCGCGCTGCTGAGGGAGACGGCCGACACGCTGAGCCAGGCGCGCGCCATCACAGACCTCGGCCAGAGCAACATCGCGGAGCTCGACACGCTCCTGGACGACCTCAACTCGGCGCAGCGGGCGGGATTCAACCGCGAATACCAGAGTGAGTAGTATATCAAGAACGAGTTATAACTTTCAAGAAATTTTCGGAAGAGTGCCTTCTTACCTTATCCCTGCGTTGCTTGTTTGCAGTCACCACCACGACCAGCCGCGATGGGTAGTAAGTAGAACGAAATTGAGGTTTTGACGCTCGTCCCCTTTCGTTCGACCAAGCCTCACACATAGCAACGCTTTTGCAGCCAGCCACTCCCGGTGCAGCACATCAGCCGCTCGGCGCAGCGGTCCTCGCAGCGGTCCTACAGCGAGCAGCGCTACGGCTCCGTCAACAAGGACCGGCAGTCGCCCAGCCCCGGCCCCATCCGGCAAGTCGGCTCCTCCAGTCTGGATAGGGGTGAGTGCAGGCGTTTGACGAAAGTTTTCATCCGTGACACCCCCTCCTACGTCTTGTGAGTTATCGTCTCGGTTATCGCTGTTCTTGTTTTCCGCAGGGCTGACCTCGTCCAACTCCAGGGAGGTGTACAGCAGCAGCTCCAGGACCACGTCGCCGTCCCCGGCGAGGAGGGAAATCCCGCCTAGTCCATCCGCAGGAAGGCACATCGTCGAGCACAATGTCTACCGGTCGGTCCCGCTCTGTCCCCGGCTACCAGGAGGCTGATCGAAGAGATCTCGGTTTCTTCGACTTCCGGTTTCGTTCTCGGGTGCAGTACTGCAGTACCCAAAATTCTAGTATTTTGTCTCTAAAAAGGAAACAGAAAAACTACAGTTTTGGCGACTTTTTCTGAGATGGGTACCGGAAGTCTACAAATTTCGGGAGCTCCCCGATCAGCCCTCAGCCGCGATGGCATCAGTACTAACGTCCCGTTTTCGTCTCTAGGTCGTACGACTCGAGGACGGGCGGCGGCTCCTCGTCGACCTCGACCACGACGCGCTACAGGGACGCCTCCCCGCCCAGGGACCGCGTCCGGCCGCCGTCCCCGGGACTCCTGCCAGCGGGGGTGGGGCTGCCCGACTACCCGGTGACCGGCGCGGCCAAGGTGTCTACCCTCGTGCGCGAGTACGAGCGCAGGGCGAGCCAGGAGGAGCGGGAGGCCAGCCTCACGAGGCGCTCGCCGTCCCCCGCGCGCTCCCCGGTGCCCCGGCGGAAGGTTTGGCAGGACTGCGTGTCCGTGTGTGTGTGTGTGACTTGCTGTGGTGTGGCGTGGTTTGTTTTTTTTATTTTCGATTTAAGAAAGTTTCTCAGTCTTCTGATTGGCGAGGGATTTTCGCTTGGTCGTTCCTCGTTCCGCATCAACCAGTGACCCGGTCGGAACTGCCTTTGCTATTATTGTCCCACTCGTTTAATTGTGAACCCCAATAATGCTGTCGGGGTGCCAAGAGGGTGCACCCCCTTTTCCTTTGAGGTGGAATTAGTGGTGATCCTGTGAAAACAATGCACGCTTGTGAGTGAATGCACCCGGCTGACACCAGCGCCACCCCATATTCATCAACGCCAGGTGGAAATGCTGTTTGTGTGTTTGAATCTCAAAAGAGAGAGTGATTTTGCGCTTAACATATTGAACCACAATGCTCCCACCCCGTTAAAAAATGTCTTACTGTAGTTCACACCACACAATAATTAGTTTGCATTTGTTTTCGTGTGAGTGGGTTTTCGTTTCTCTTTGTGGTGTCAGGATCTCCTCGTTTGGGACCGATGTAAATATTTTTTTGAACTTGAGGTCACTTGTTTGTGAAATGTATACCTTTCGCCTACCGTCACACTCGGCAGCACGCTGCACACAACAGACCTGACAGTGCGACTGCCCCTTCGGCAGAGTTGGGGGCCGGGTGGCGGCGGCAGCTCGCCCTGCGCCACATATCATGGAGCAAAATGAATTAGCTACATCAGCTAACGCAGTTGCAGCAGCTCAGAGTATTAGCTCGCTCAGCTAATGATTGGGTCATAATTAGCTCGTAGTTAGCTCATAATTAGCTAGGCGAAGTTTACATTCTGAGCTAAGGCTAAATTAGCAAGTGCTACTGCTATTTTAACTAATTCATTTTTTTGTTCAGTCTGAGGCCTCCTTTCTGACACCCTGCTCTCTGTCCTGTAGATGATGACCTCCTCGACGACCTACAACTACAGCAGCACCTCGTCGAGCGGGCAGCGGCCGGACCCGCCGCGAACGCCGCCGCCGCACCGCTCGCCCTCGCCCGTGTCCTTCCCCTCGCCGCCCGAGCCGCTGTCGGGCTACTCGTACCGCCGCGACGAGATGTCCAGCTACTCCAACTCCAACACGAGGCAGCGGTCGAGGTCGCGGTCGCCGCCGCCGCGGCCCTTCCCCACCGACCACACCGTGTACCAGGTGGACCGCGTGGAGCGCGTGCACCGCGAGCCCGTGCTCCAGCCGCGGCCCTTCCCCACGCCCTCGCCCACCTTCCACGGGGACCAGCGCCCGCCCAAGGAGCTCAACGAGCTCATGTCGTCCTTCACCGAGACCGACATGGTGAGCGAGAGAATTTCGGTGGCTTGGCGAACCGCTTCCCATCGTCGGACAAATTACTTACCTCTTACTTACTTACCTTTTACTTACTTACCTCTTACTTACTTACCATCTTTCTTACTTTCTCCTTCCTGTCCTGCAGGGTCACGTGAGCGTCCGTCAGCACGCCCTGGACCTGGAGCAGCGCGCTCAGCGGCAGCAGCAGCAGGCACCGCCCGCGCCGCCCACCCCGCCGCCCGCGCGCAAGGAGGAGGCGATCGTGTCCAGGAACGTGGCCGGCCCGCCCGTCTACTACCCGCCCGGCGTCGAGATGTTCCAGACGCGAGAGGAGTCGCACGCCCAGAGCGCGGTGAGTGTGAGTCGTGATCATGACCCAAATCATGGTTATCACCCTTGTTCTGGTATGACTTGCTGTTGCTGTTACCGGAACAATCATGACCATGGCCAACAAAATCATGATCAACGGTTCAGAATTCAATTTCTCGTATCGATCGCGCAGCCTGTCCTGTCGTCGGCGTCCCCACTCATCGCGTTCGTTGCTGTTTCAGGGTGGCGGTTACCAGGGTAAGGCCAAGGCCAAGTACGAGTACAAGATGAAGCAGCGCAGCAAGGAGTCGAGCAAGACTGGCAAGGCCGTGGTCCCGGTGTGCCTGCCGCTCTGCTGCGCCATGCCGTGCACCATCATGTAGGGCGTCCCCGCCAAACGCGCGATGAAAACAAATAATTGGAGTGTCCATTTCAATCGGACGCGAAACGGACGACCGTCAGTCTGGGACATATTATGTGCATAATACTTCTGTACATAGCGGGTGTGGTGAACCAACTTAGCGATGCGCGTTTCGAACAGGAATACTAACTAACGTGGATATAAAACGAGTACTTGAAATATCAAGAGGGAATTCCAGAAGCTCTTTGCAAGATGAGCTGAAGCGGAAAAGCCTACTTTCTCACGTTTCGGATGCCAAGATCAGTGATTTTTATTTTTTATGATTATTGGATAATCCTTCGAATGACTTGTAAGATTATTTATTGAACATAAAATTAGGGCGTGCCTTCATTCATCGATATGTCGTCGTCTGTGCCGACGAGTTCTCACTAATACTTCGCCTTTGACTTACGTAGCAATAGTTGTCCTCTCAATCATCACATGCATTGTCTCTGTTAATGTGCCAAACTCTGTACGTATTTATACATACTTTTAACTTCCTGCCAAGTGCCGTTACCGTTGTATTTTCTCACCATGTTTTGACTTATTAACTAATTAAACTTTTACAGAAAACTTATTTGCCGTGTTCATTTGAAGTACAAACAAAACATCTGACCCCCTCCCCACCCACTCTGTTTCGTTCCACCTATTCAAAACCTAGCGAAACGTGTCAAACTCGTCGCACGACACACTGATAAACTCGCAGCCGTAGTTATGGGTGTGTCTAGTGCAGACACTGTCAGAGGATTATATCTGAAATTGAAATTCTATTTTCACTTTTTTGGCGTTTCATGAAGACAATCTGCTGTTTTCGGTCTTATCAGGCAACCCCCTCGGTGGTACGCGTTCCTTGTCTGTTCAAACGGTTCAGCCCGCGTTATCAAAAGATGAGGCCGTCCCGGCCCACATTTGACGTCAGGCGTGCGGCAGGTCCGGTAGGTCGGGTGAGGTCGGGGCTGCGCCGAGGCTGTGCTGCTCCACCCCCTGCCCGGCTATCGGGGCTGAGCGCCCCGGGCCCCCGGGTCGGCTGTCCGCGCTTGGGCCTGGTTGGGTTATCGCCTGGCTGAACCGACCGACACCTGTGTTGAAGCAGTTGAAGGTGGGCTTTCAGTGTGTCGCTAGCCGCCCGGCCCGCGACTCGGTACCCGCCACATCACGAGCGGTTTTGTCGCCATCGCCTTTGCGCCCAATCGGCACAACCACAACGACCATGTTTGGCTGCGACGAAGAGTGCCAGGAAAACCTCATACACTATGTAAGCAATTATTGCATTCTGTTTAAAATACAAGGTAGACGCACGTTAAAACCGTGTGAAGCTGAGCTAAATGTGCGTCTACCTTGGCCTGCAGCGCGCTAAAATTAAAAGGATTTCGCGATTTTGGTTGGCATGCCTGTCCACCTCACATCTCACGTCTCACGCCAGGCGCCTCACTTCACGCCGTCTTCCGGGCGGTCTCCCCTTGCGCTTCCTGACAGAGCTGAGCATTTAAAGTTAAAGTTTAATTTGAAATTCAAGTTAAGCTCAGCAATAAGCTCAGCAATAAGCTCAGCAATAAGCTCAGCAATAAGCTCAGCAATAAAACTATTGACGAGGAAACAGTCACTAAAAGGATTCAGAGGCGGAAACGAAACGCGAGACCGATTGTCAAGCTAGCCGTCACGGAAGTCGGCTCCCTGTAGGCTGCGAAAAGCTTATGGAGTGCAAAAATTGCTCCGGCGTTTTGTGAGCTCTAAATTCACACTTACGCAATGAGTAACATTCAATGTTATGTATGTATTGGCCAATAATGCGAAAATTAGTCTAGGCTATCATGTGATGAAGGTCATTTGCTAAAAATCTCTTCAGTTGTGCCAACGCAATTTTCACCTTCCTGGATGTTTAGCCATGTGTGTCTTACTTGAGGGTCCTCTGACTGACCGCCCATCGAGCACAACAAGATAGAGCGCCAAGGTCCGCCATGCGGACTCGTATCAGGAAAATCAGTCAGGATAAGATTAGCCGACTAGCTGAGTGATTCGTGACCAAAAAGATTGTTACGGCCAAAAAAGTGTGCGCGCAAGCGTGCGCGCGCGTGTGTCTATTGTTCTTATTTTTTTTATTTTTTAAAAATATTATAATGTTAAAAAATTTTGGCTTTAATTTAATTTTTTATTGGGAAGGGGGGGGGGGGAGGGGGTGGCTGAAAAGTATACAACAGCGGTTTTCAGTCTTGTTTCTGCTCGACCAGGCGGTGATCTACTGGGTGCTGCTTCTGCCGCTATGGGCGGCGGGCCTGGCGCTCATGCTGGTCCTGTTCGTCGTGGGGCTGGCCTACCGCCGCTGGCCCGTGGCCGTGGGCGGCCTCCTCATGGGCGTCACGGCCGCCATCACGACCTACGGCCTCCTGGTCGCGGCCACCACCACCCGGGACCTCGTCGGCCAGCAGCTCGGGGGCGCCGGCAGGGAGCCGCGGACGTCGACGGGATTCATCTCGGTGTGATGAACGCCGAGCGGGAAGTCGTCCCGGTCCGCAGCAGCAGTCGACTCGCGGGGAAAAGGTGGAGAGTGAGAGAGGCGCTAAAGAAAGACTTGAAAGACGCGATAGTGAATGACGTGTCCATGACCTTTCGTCGTGGAGAAACCCGGACAAATTCGAGCAATGTGCGCGCGGCAGTGGGTTTGGGGCGGGGCGGGGTTGGCGGGGCGGGGCGTGGCGGGCTATCTGCCGGC